AAGAAAATTATCAGTTCAAATCTGACGTTAATTTTCATCAACGCAAGAGATCAAACTCTGCGTTAAGCTTTGAACGCACAGTTCAGACCTGGCGTTAATTTTCATCAACGCAAGGGTTAAACTCTGCGTTAAGTTTTGAACGCACAGTTCAAACCTGGCGTTAATTTTCATCAACGCAAGGGTTAAACTCTGCGTTAAGTTTTGAACGCACAGTTCAAACCTGGCGTTAATTTTCATCAACGCAAGGGTTAAACTCTGCGTTAAGTTTTGAACGCACAGTTCAAACCTGGCGTTAATTTTCATCAACGCAAGGGTTAAACTCTGCGTTAAGTTTTGAACGCACAGTTCAAACCTGGCGTTAATTTTCATCAACGCAAGGGTTAAACTCTGCGTTAAGTTTTGAACGCACAGTTCAAACCTGGCGTTAATTTTCATCAACGCAAGGGTTAAACTCTGCGTTAAGTTTTGAACGCACAGTTCAAGCCTGGCGTTAGAATTTAATAAACGCAAGGGTCAGGCCCCTGACGTTTCGAATTCAAAACGCAGAATATTAACTCTAAGTTTGACGGCAACCCATCTAGGGTTTTTCAAAGAACTCGCCGAAGCGAGTTTGACGGCCAAAAAGGGCGACACTTACCACCGACGGGTGGAACCTGAAATGGCGGCGCTGCTGCAGCAGGAGATCTTGGGCGAGGAGCAGCCTTTTTCTTGGAACCCATGGAAGAGAGTCGGAGAAGACGAGCAAGATCACCGGAGTTGAGAACGAAGAGGCTTTGTTAAAAATCTTCCGAAAGAGGGGAGGCAAAAAGTCGGGTGACTTTTGATTTGACCCTTAGCGGACTACTTATAGACTGCTATGAGCTGTCAAATCGGGTCGGCACCATAGGCCCAAATGCCCGCCAAATGTGGCCTTCGTTAAAAATCTTCCGAAAGAGGGGAGGCAAAAAGTCGGGTGACTTTTGATTTGACCCTTAGCGGTCTACTTATAGACAGCTATGAGCTGTCAAATCGGGTCGGCACCATAGGCCCAAATGCCCGCCAAATGTGGCCTGTGCGCCTGTGACGCTTGAGCTTCTGAACGCAGAATTCACCCCTGCGTTATAATCCGCCGTGCATCTACATTGATGGAATCCCTAAACGCAGAATTTAACCCTGCGTTTCAGTTCAATAACGCAAGAAATCTATCTGTGCGTTCTGACTCAACCACACGACTTCCTCTATGTTTATAGCCAAGACATGGTTCCAAATAAATAGAGGGAGGCTAATGTCAGCCATCAAGGCGACTAAAGCCAAGAAGAAACAGGTGATTCCACTGAAGAGTCCATTGGATGAGTACAATTAGATTACAATCAACCAAGTCTGACAATGTCTTCTAAATTTTGGGATCCAAAGTATTCCGAAAATTCGTCCCAGTCAACCGCGAACTTTCGAAAACTTTGGAGGGGGTTCTGTAGGCTGTCTAAAAATCACAATAGATAGCCGATCCCTATCAAGCCCTGATAATGGAAGTTACAATCACTTTCTGATCTTTGCATCCGCAACTCTGCAACCGCTATAAACACGGCCTCATCTCTGAGATGACTGATCTTGATGGCTGCGACAACAGCATGACTAATATGATATTAGCAACTATTAGAGATGCTGATGAGCAGTGTAGTGAGGTGAGTCGCTTGGTAGAGAGCTGTGGGCAAATATCCATCTTCAAAACACTATGGATGTTGATTCCCGTCAAGCTCTCACAACGAAAGCTACAATCAAATAGCTTTCGGGTCGACAGTCGGAAAGGGCAAATAGGAGACTTTTCACACAGATCGAGAAGAGTTACAATTTGACGACACTTCCGACAGCTGATGAAAACCCTATTCAGTGGCCTTCACGATCGTTGGTGAGAGTTACAATCTGACGACTCTCATATCTTATAACAGGCAAAGACCAATAAACAATGGCCTTTGCAATGTCATGGCAGACGATGTTACAAGTCAACAACCTCTATCAAACGTAGAAGTTTAATTCTGCGTTTCTCAAATTCGAAACGCACACAACTTGTGCGTTCTCCAGCGAATGTCTAACTCTGCAACGCAGAGTTCAAGCACCAAACGCACACATAACGTGCGTTCTTCAATAGGTTCAACTACGTGTCCCAAACTCTGGACGCAGAGTTGAGCTTCAACGCACACGGCCTGTGCGTCTCAAATCTCTAACAGAGATTTAACTCTGCATCTCAAGCCTTGGACGCAGAGTTAAAGCCCATAACGCCAACTGAGGCGTTTTGACTTGTTCAAACGCAAGTCGAACGGCCTCAAAACCGTTATCCCACGTTCTGAGGGATTCTCGCCCACAAAGGAGCGGAAATAGGGGTTGGTTGCACTCCACATCACCCTATAAATAACCAACTTACTCAACTGAGTAAGGGGGGCGGGTTGATAGGTTGATCAATCGGTTTCTGAGATCAAAACCGCAAAGAGTTGAGGGGAGCTGGTATCAAAACCACCCAAGGTCAACAAATCTCGGCAGTTGAGTAATCGGAAGGAAGAGATCTTCGGGAGATCAAGGAACTGATCAACGATCAGTTAATCAAATCCCGAAGGATCCTTTCATCAAAGGTATCATCCACTTGGCAATTAACCGAATTTTCGGTTCCAACAACTCTGTTACAGAGTTTTAACTCATTCTGAGTTCTTAAACTCGTTAAGAGTTCTTAATTAGCTTGCAACGCAAGTTAATCACATCAAACCAAACATTCGGTTTTCAACAACTCTTATCAGAGTTCTTAACTCGTCCAGAGTTCTTTACACTCGTTAAGAGTTCTAAACCGAAGTCATCAAGCATTTCAATTGTTTCAGTACAGAAGGACGGTCGGATCGTCAACGGAGAGCAAGTTCGGCGCGATCAATCGAAGGAGGCACTCCACCGCTACCAAGAAGAACCCAGTTTTAAACAAAGGGGAGAATCAAATTCATTCTCCTCTCTTTTGTAATCGGAATCCAAATTGTAATCGATTATTGAGAGAATACAAGTCAAATTTTTTCTTTCATTGTCTTTTTACTACAAGTCAAATTTTCTTTCATTGTCTTTTTGCATCAAATTTCCAACAAACAGATATATATCACCGACGGGGATTTAGGCGTCCTTGATGGGATTTCCCATCAAGGATGCCTGGTTTTTCACTAGTGTCTTCTGGTCATTGTGATGAATTAGGTTTAGATGACTGGTTTCGGGTAGATTCTAGGATGAAGTCTTTGAAGCCTACTGAATCGGGTTGTAATTTAAGTGAATTTCGGTCATAGTGAGGAAGACTCTTTGTGAGAAGGAAGAGTGGACATAAGATTTTCATCCAAACCAGTATAAAAATCTTGTGTGTTTCTGTGTTGATTTGCTTTTTACTTTTGACTTATTATATTTCTGTTGTAATTTCTATTAGAAAAATAATCAAAGTTATGAGTTATAAAATCCGAAATTAAAGTAAACAGTAAAACTGGCCTGACGGGAGCAGTCGTGTAATCACTGCCCTAGAAGATTGAGGACCTGCCTATCGCCCTGGTGCAAATGATCCCCTCTCCCTAGCAGTAAAAATCTCCGAAAGCGACTGGTCTCTGTACTCGGGCGAGAGTACAGATAAAAACTTTATATTCTTGTGTTTTAGAATGTGAATAACGGGTTTATATATAGGGTTGAGGGAGAGAGAGTTTATTTTATTTTTCAATGTGGGACTAAACACAAAGGCAAAATTACTTTTTCTCAATAAAATATCCCACAATTTTTGAGTCTTGCCGTAAAACTATAGCGAAACAATTCAAACCTTCTTGCTTCCCAATCAAGACTCATCATTAAAATTGTTAATTTTGCACACAAAAAACCCAATAAACAACTTTTGATTGCAACTAATCCTACACGTCACAACTTTTGCACCTGGTTTTTTTTAATTTTAATTTTTTGCGAAAAAAGGGCATCACGCACAAGTGATGTTGTGCGGAAACCACTTGTTGTGGTGTCGAGGACCAACACAAAACGCCGAGAGAGAAAGCAAAACAATCCAAAATAACGGCACAAACACAAACTAACAAATTTTATGTGGTTCGGCAAGTTGCCTACGTCCACGGGGCAAGAAGGGGATGAGTTTTCACTAATAGAGAAGGAAAGTACAAATTAAGATTACAAAATCACTCAAACTCACCAATTAATCTCACAAACAAAGCTCCCAATCTCTCAAACAAAACCCTAACCAATAGCTCCAAAAAGGCTCTTTTCTGTGCTTCAAATATCCCCTATACTGCTCTCCCCAAGAAACCCTAAAACATGTTTCAATATATATATCAAAACATAAACCAAATTAGAACAGGAAACAACAATCAGTCCCAAACCCGGACTGAGCGGTCGACCGCCGAAATCGACGCGGTCGACCAACCAGAGAGACAGAAACCAAAGTCGATTACAGGGTTTTGGCGGTCGACCGTGGCAGACGACCGACCAGAGTGCAGAAACACACATTGTAGTCGTACACGTTTGCGGTCGACCGCGCCAAAGCTCGCGGTCGACCGGAAAGCACCCAAATGCATGTCTGCTCCATTTTTCCTTATCTTCTCCAATGTTTTCGCCAATTCTACAGGCGACATAGCCCCATGGCTTATCGGCCCTCAACATTTTTTCGTCTGGTGTAGTACTGGAGTATATGTTATAATTGCTAAACAGCACAAGATGATTGAAACATTCATCAACATAAGATCAGATCGATTGACGCAAAAGTTCACGATGTATGGCAAGAAAGAAGTTAGAATCATGCATCTCCACTGCATTGATCCAAATACACAAAGAACATAGTAACAAGAGTTAAATGAAACAAAGCTTACATGGGCTAGGCATTGTCAAAACAAAAGTTCAACAAACACGAGAGGAGTGGAGGAAATACAACCCTAAAGTTGAAAATACGCAGCATATTATTCACCGAACAAGGCAGAGAAGAAATATGTCATGAAATGCGTATGCAGCTTGAAACTCCTCCGTTAAGGGCGACCACCATTGCCAGATCCAGACCCATAACCCCGCCCATAACCTTCGCCGTATCCTTCTCCGGTGCCAGAACCATAACCGCGCCCGTATCCTTCTCCATAACCCGCGCCGGACCCATCTCCTGTCCCAAAGCCACCACCCTCACCATATCCACGACCCTCGCCGTAACCGGATCCAAAACCTGATCCATGCCCACTTCCCCTACCTGAGCCCCGGCCAAACCCAAATCCCGAGCCTGAACCAACACCGTTGCCTGAGCCAGAACCAGCACCAGACCCAACAGCTGAGCCAAAACCCGCACCAGAGCCAGAACCTGACCCAGCACCGGACCCCGAACCAGCACCGGACCCCGAACCCGAGCCCGTACCTGACCCAGCACCTGAGCCTGTGTTTAAGCCAGAACCAGAACCAACATTAGACCCAAAACCTGAACCGACACCGGCACCTGAGCCTGAACCAGCACCTGAGCCAGTATTAGACCCTATGCCAGAACCTGCACAGGAACCACCGCCAGCGTAGGATCCCGACCCAGAACCAGAGCCTGAAGCGGAACTAGAACCCGAACCAGAGGCAGAACCACCTCCGCCTAACCCCAGTCCCAACCCCAAGCCTAGACCAACACCTCCACCAAGGCCTAGGCCCAAGTCCTTCCTCATGGGCCGGCCCTCTATCACAACAAGGGCTACATATACGACCAACAATTTAAGTAAAAGCCCACTAAAAGCCTTGTCACCGGCAGCCATGCTTACTCTCTTAGCAAAGCTATATTTCGAATCAAACTTCTAGGTGATGAGCTGATCACTTGGTAGTGCAAGGGCATATATAGGCTCAATTGACAACATGATGACTAAGACCACGTGGAAATGGAATCAGAGAGGAGAGTTAGGAACAATCTAGAAAGCAAATGGATACAGTGTTTCGGGATGAAACTTGAGAAGGTTGGTGGTTGATCCAACGCTAATAATGGAAAAGGCTGTTACGCCACGTAGTGCACACTAGGGTTTTTGGCCATAAACATGGGGCGTCTCAGGGTTTGAACTTAAACAACTCCTGAGTTCACCTAATGGTTTGGAGTTTAGTGCATAGTTTCATGCAAATGAAAGAATATGTGTAATGGGAGAGTTTGTATGTTAACGCCCCACTTGGTCTCGCGATGGGGATGCACCTGCAGGATGTCTGGGGTCTCTCTCCGCCGCACACACGGTGGAAATGAGATTGGCAATGGGCCGCGTGTTTGGCAACTTGGAAGTAAATGGAAGGTGGAGCCAAAATTAGAAAGTAAAAGGGTGTCACATAAACATTTTAGCTCATTTCAAATTTTCCAAAAATTAGAGTTAGAGAGAGTGGATGGAAATTGAAAAGAAAGGAGAGGGAGAAGATATATTTTTAGATTTTTTACATATCATTTTAGTTTTAGTTGTTTACTTACTATTACTTTCATTGATAACCAAATAGAACAAGAAGAAAATAAGGGTCATATTGTTTGCCACATTAACTTTCTTTTTTATTACTTTCTATCAATCAAATAAGATTTTGTGAAATATAAAGTAATAAGAAAGTACCTTATTGAGAAAGTACTTTCTCTTTTTTTTCACTTTCTATTTACTCTCTGCGTACCAAACATACCTAATAAGACTAATTAGCTGTTAGGAGTGTCTCGCATCAGTTCGGTGTATACATGTGGTTTTAATTCAATGGAAAAATATGATGTGTGATTTAGTCTCATGTAAGGGGGGAAATTTTAGATAGACATATAGTTATAAATATATACTAGTACTTCTTGTGCACGCTATACTTGTCTACACAATTCGACCTTCAGGTTGATAAATATCATAAAACCACCCTTAACTTTAGATAATTATTAGAAGACTCCCTTTAACTTTCAAAATATCAAAATAAAAATAAAATAATACCCCTTAAGTTTAGGGGTTATCATAAAACTCCCTTTAACTTTGAAATATTATCAAAAACCCTCTAAAATTAGGAGATTTTTCTGATAAATCTCAAAGTTAAATAGGGGTTTTGTGATGATCCCTATTGTTATGGTAATTTACCATCTAAAGATGAAGATGACGAGAGATTGACTGCATAGGCTTAAAAAGGGCATGGTCCAAACCAGCTTAGAAGCCCAAAAGCCCAGCTAATGGCAGGTCTATCGGCCAGCCAAGCAGACGAGTCATCTTTCGACCAAGGGTCATCATCACCGACTCGAAGTGCGGGATTAGTTGGTCCCTCATAATTAAGACGACTCCTCCAGCAGACGTCTCGACCATACACTCGGCCCAAAGCTCATTCGACTATAGGGTCAGCAAATCATAATAATGACTCACAAGATCAACCCGCATCAACTAAGGGGATAAGATCCGACTAAACTCGTTTCAGATGTCAATCGGCACTACAGCATTGATCAGTCCTATTGAGATCTCCGCTCTGACAAATCCCATGCATAAGCCGTTTATTCATCTCACAAGTCACTTCCTAGAGATCGTCATGATGCTCTCCTGAGCTCTAATAGTTTCCCCTCCAATCACCAACCGCCATATGGAGGGGGGAGGACAACTAAGTAGCTGGTCTATCCTCTGTCCTGCCTCATCTATCAAATCCAGGATACTGAGAAGATATTTCTCTCCTGTACCCGAATGACTTCCCTTCCAATCGTCAGTCTACATCTAGAAGGAGAAGGATGACTCAGCAACCTGTTCGTTCACCCCTCAACCGCCTCCTGTGCATAGTCAAAGCCAAGGATCAAACTCTCAAAGGCAATGGGCTATAAAAGGAGGAAAAGAAGGTAACGGGAGGTAGATCTTTTCTGCTGCTACTTCACTAAAGCTCTGAATTTTTACCTTTGTAAAAAAGAACTAATAACTCTAAAAGAGTATCCTCTAAGGACCTCAATGGCTCTGGGATTCTCCCTCAAACCCCAGTCAATCCCACTGGCTGACTTGACCGTCGGAGGTACCACGGGGGAAATAAGCCCCTCCCTCCCACGGGTTTTTCCTTGTTTGTGCATAAGGATCGGGAATTCTAGTCTAAGGATCGGGCATAAAGTCGGAGGAGGAGTCGGCCCCATCTCTCATCCTCTTCCTATTCGCCGCCAGCGTGAAGTCCAGAACCACAACCCCTTGACTGTGTGATATCAGACATTAACAGTTTGGCATCCACCGTGGGGTCCACTCTCTTCTCTGAGAAGGCATGTCTAATTCCAAACAGGGGCCCGATCTTGCGAATTCTTGAAAAATATCGCTGGAATCGCACCATTCAAGCTAAACAATGCCTAAAATCACATCATTCAAGCTAAGGAGGATATGCCTATGGCTATGAAGAGCCAACATAGGCGTAGCCCTCAAGGGCTCCAACAGCTTTCTGGGGAGTATTTGCCAAGTGGAACCCAGAAAGCCCTCCTGGAAAAGACACACCACTATGGTATTTGTCTGGCTTGAAAATGAAGCGCATGCTCCCTATGGCCGCCACAGACAAAAACCCCACCGCCTGGACAGCCAAGAGGCCTGGGGTTGGATCGCAAACAAAACCCCAAGGGTTATGATCAGATCCAGTATTGCTCAAGCTCCCATCAGCAACAGCTCACACGAGCAAGGAGTAGCGATTAAGTATGTGGCCAGCTACTCGGACTATCACCATCTTCAAAGGAGAGTCCTTCCTCACCAAAGATGAAATTGTAGGAAAAACTTAGGGAGCCACCTGACGACTGCCTCTTTAGGAAATCCGGCCCTGGCCCCCAACAGCTATTCGAACCACCAGAGTCAATGAAAGAACTGGTGGTCGAAGCATACGACTCGCATTCTCCTTGCAAAAAGAAGGCTCCTCCATCCACAGGATGGTCCGGTCGTTGCTACTCCTGGAATCCTTAAGGGGAAACAATGATCCTATCAAATTCCAGGAAACAAAGCATCGATATGTGGGGTTTCATCAACAAGAAGCCCCCCATCACAAAAGTTGCCTAGGCCTCTCCCTATTGAGCGTCATCCTCCAAAAGCTCAATCAGCCGGACTCTGGCCATACAACGCAACCAACGGTGGACAAGCAAGATCTGTTGAAAATCCCTGTGTCCACCGTCAACCAGCAAGGACCTCAGCAAAAATTCGAAGCTCAAAAAGGTCCTTGGCTAATGAGATGGCGAATATATCGACAGCTAAATGACGTCTATAGACAAACAACTTACCCTTAAGAGGAAGAGCAACCCCCGATTCCGGGCGTTCCTCAGTTTGGCAACAAAGACAACCAAAGAAGCAATAGCTCGCTCTCATCAAAACAAGTATGTTCAAAGACGACACGAAACAACCTAGGAAGCTCCGTTTCAGTGACCCTGTCCCCAATAGAAAGCCATCTCCAAAATACATCTAAATAAGAAACAAAAGTTCGACACCGTTCGAATAATCAATAGAATTGTACTCCGTTATGTATAAATTCCAGTAATCAATAAAAAACGTCAAAAGAAAAGAAAAGCATCAAAGACCTAGCCGTCTAGGCAAACGACTTCTCCAGTCAGATATAAAGCCCTTGGTACATTCTCAGGGTAAAACCAAGACACAACGACTTCTCAGTCGGCATAAAACCCTTGGTACCTTTTCAGGGTAAAACCAAGACACAACGACTTCTCAGTTGGCATAAAGCCCTTAATACCTAATCTGGATAAAACCAAGACACAACGACTTCTCAGTCGGCATAAAGCCCTTGGTACCTTCTCAGGATAAAACCAAGGCACAACGACTTCTCAGTCGGCATAAAGCCTTTGGTACCTAATCTAGATAAAATTAAGGCACAACGACTTCTCAGTCGGCATAAAGCCCTTGGTACATAATCTGGATAAAACCAAGGCACAACGACTTCTCAGTCGGCATAAATCCCTTGGCTCCTAATCTGGATAAAACCAAGGCACAACGACTTCTTAGTCAGCATAAAGCCCTTGGTACCTTCTCAGGGTAAAACCAAGGCACAACGAGTTCTTATTCGGCATAAATCCCTTGGTACCTTCTTAGGGTAAAACCAAGGCACAACGACTTCTCGGTCAGCATAAAGCCCTTGGTACCTTCTCATGGTAAAACCAAGGCACGACTTCTCAGTCAGCATAAAGCCCTTCATACCTTCTCAGGATAAAACAAGGCATAATGATTTCTCAGTCGGCATAAAGCCCTTGGTACCTTCTCAGGGTAAAACCAAGGCACGACTTCTCAGTCGGCATAAAGCCCTTGGTACCTAATCTGGATAAAATCAAGGCACAATGACTTCTCAGGCGGCATAAAGCCTTGGTACCTTCTCAGGATAAAACAAAGGCACAACGACTTCTCAGTCGGCATAAAGTCTTTGGCTCCTAATCTTGATAAAACCAAGGCACAACAACTTCTTAGTCGGCATAAAGCCCATGTCTCCTAATCTAGATAAAACCAAGGCACAACGACTTCTCAGTCAGCATAAAACCCTTGGCTCCTAATCTGGATAAAACCAAGGCACAACGACTTCTCAGTCGGCATAAAACCCTTGGCTCCTAATCTGGATAAAACCAAGACACAACGACTTCTCAATCGGCATAAAGCTATTGGTACCTTCTTAGGATAAAACCAAGGCACAACGACTTCTCAGTCGGTATAAAGTCCTTGGCTCCTCATCAGGATAAGCCCAAGGCATGGCCCTAAGGACGACCTCAATAATTACTCCTCGACCAAATGGGGGAACAAGGACGCCGATATTTATCCCACATATGTTATCTAATCTACAAGGGTCAACA